CATAAAAAAGTAACTTAGCAGCCTTACACCCCATTTCCCTGAAACGGCGCTGGGTGCTGTTCCCAAGATCTCGTCACTGTTCAGCCCTGATCAGACTCATAAGACTCACAAAGTGGACATGCAAAACACATGGTAATCAAGAGAGAAGTGTTCCAGGGACTGATAACCACATGAAAGCTTCCTGTGTATATTCTTAGGCCCTGTGGCTTTTGAGCAGAAGCAAATGCAATCTGTCCAGCCCAAAACTACTTCTTGCTGTAAACATAAGGTGCATGGAAGTGTCCAAGTGTTTTTCTGAAAGGAGATCCTCCTCTGGTTGCCGATTGTGACGTTTGCTGCAGGTAGGGGGTTTGCACGCTGCTGTAAGGGAACTGATTTTGGGCATTGATGGGCAAGTGGATCCCTGGAAATCCAGATTTTGTACCGGTGGGGAGAGTTGCAGGTGTTTTTCCAGCACATCTGAACTGTGTGCATCAGTTAAGGTCTGCAGGTTATATTAGCATGTCTGTGTTTTCAATTGTTTTCTATTTCTTCAGCACCCCACCGAAATCATAATTTTGTTCTTTTTATGCAGTGTCTGGGTCTTTGGTCTTGAGACAACACTGGGATCCGTTGTTGTGGCGGTTGTTTTGGATGATAGAGTGAAGCTGGAAAGTAGCAGGAGCTTGGTACTGAGGAGCTTTGTTCTGCTGAGCCACCAGCACATTCACAGCAGAGTTGTTACCGATATTTAGTACAAAGTGTTTGGTCATTAGATGTTCTCCTTTTAGCCATCTGTGAAAGGGGCAGCCGGGGAAACTGTACCCTTAACTCCGTTTCCCCACACCCAGAAATCAGATTACAGATGACTAAAACCTTCGGGCAGTTCTGTGCGAGGCAGGCAGGGACAAGCAGTGCAGGCCAAGCCGCAGTTCCCACCGCAAAGAAAACAAAAACACAGGTGCTGAACGGACTGCGGCCACGCAGATGAGCTGTGTGTGCAGAACATGGCTTTTTGCACGGAAGGGGAACACGGTTCTTCTTGTTTGGCTGTTGTCCGCTCACGGCGTGTTTTATTTCGGCTTGCCTCCAGGCAGTTCTTACAGGTCCTGCAGCAGAAGCTCTCTGTGGTGAGAGAAACATGTGATCCCGGGGCCCGAGAGAAGAAACTCTGCTGGAAGGCCCCTCCAGGGAGAAGGCTGCTGCTGGCCACCTGAGCAAACAGCCAGCCCAGCTGGCGAGCCTGGAGAAGCCGGCACAGGGGACACAGGGAATGGCTGTGTGCACAAGGGGGTTTGCTCTGAGCTTCCCACCTCGGCCTGCCTCGTGAAAGGCTGTGCTTGGTGTGCGTCTCCGGGGCCTCGAGCAGGAACATTCCGAGGAGCACGTGCCTCCTTGTTTCCAGTGATGGGGGTGAGGTCCACGGAGCGTGCTTCCAAGCACCGCTGGATTGGGTAGTGTGGTTCCAAGCACCGCCAGATGACGTGCTGCTCGCTGTTCTCATTGGTACCCGGTGTACCTGGAACGAGTGTGTGTCAGGGATGCAAGGAAGTGATACAGACCAGTGTGTACGGTGGTCCTGCAGAGCACAGTGACCCCAGGGAGAAGGGACAAGGTCCCTGGACGCGGGACAGCAGACGTTAACCGTGGCTTGGGGGGTCTGGTGAGGGTGGGGGTGATCTTGTGGGGTTGGGAGCGCACCGCTGGGGCAGGGCTGGTGTCACTGACCCAAAGAGTCGGTGTCGGGAGCCCTGCCATAGCAGAGCACACAGAAGCCCATCTGAGACAGCCAAACAGATGTGCAGAGGGCTGGTGCGAGGCAGAGCTGCAGTGGGGAATTCTCCAGATGACAATCCAGGAGAGCTGGATGCGGGAGCCGCAGCAGCGGAGGGTGATGTGCTAAGTGAACTCCGCGACAGCTGAGAGCCAGGCAAATAGCAGCACGAGTGTGGGGTTAGCCTTCACATGCTGAACAGATTTTGCTAATATCACTTTGTTATGCAAATATGTAATTATTTAATTTCCTCCAGAAGGAGTATTTGTGGTTTCCTGTTCCCTGGGACTTCCGAGTGCTTGTGCGAAGGGAACAAATAACTGCAAAGTTACCGGGTTGTGCACTCGGTGGCAAGCTCTGAAAAAGTGAAAACCCTGAAGTTTTGGTGGAGGCTTTAAATAGCACTTCTGAATGGGCTGCTGGAGGGTGGTGAGGCTGGCCCTGACAATGGCACAGGACTTGCTCACCATTTAAATAAACTTTATTTGGATTGGAGCCTGCTGTCTGCCCGGGGCGAAGGAATTAAAAGGCCAGGTTGCTGCACAGGCTGGATGGAGACTGTGGTGATCAGGATGGAGCTGCTCAGGCCCAGTAGGGCCTGGAGTTGTGCTGGCTGTAGCTGAAGGGCAGGATGTGTCTGGATAACTGGTTTGCAGTGCTTCTGTGGAAGAAGCAGAAAAGGAATAGCAGAGAAGCACAGAAGCGCTGTCCCCTCAGAGGTCAGGTGTGAGAACTCTGCTGTGGAGAGGAGCTCCTGACACTTGTGGTGCTCTCACAAGGTTCTGGCAATTAAAAATCTCACGGGATGGGGGGTATTTTTAAACTGTGCCATGAAGCAAGGAATTTTTTAAATCCTACATGTGCCTGCGTCCCGTGCTCAGAGAACTGCGGCAGCGGTGTGAAAAGGGGGATTTGGAGAGGGCTCCTCATGCCCCGAGAAGTCACTTTTTCCTTACTGTTTCACACCCCATGTCCTCTTTCTCTCTTCTTACTGGCTGTAACAGGACTGTACAGGGCTAGCTTTCTATTTTAGACACTTAGCTGCAATCAGGTGCTGGGATGAGGCTCCGGGAACCAAATTTGGATTTAATGTCGCATAAACAGGGCTTTCTGCTAACGCTTATAAGATTTAAAATAAAAGCTCAGCCATAGGGTGCTTGAGCTTTCCATGCTGAACTAAAAGTTTTTGTCTAATCCCCCTTTGCCTGAGAATGGTGTTACAGATACACAATGTCTCTGAGGGTTTATTATATTTTTTTTTAACTCAGGTAAATCTCGATTTACAGTGGTCTGATCTCAAGAGTCAGGGAGCATCTCAGAGGATGTGTTGGAGATTTGCAAAAGATCACATCTTTCAGCAAATCGCTTGGTGCTGTGGGCATGGGACAGGATTCAGTTGTGCCAGTTTTTATTTAAAGACTTGTGGTGTGTTGTTCCTTGGGGTTGTTTTTGTTTTTTTTTTTTTTTTTTTTGCTTCTTTCAACAGTAGGAAAAAACACGACTGAAACTGAAATGGTTATTTCCAGTCGCATAAAGATTCTTGTTTGGGATTGACAGTTTTGCCATGGATATGAGCCAGGGACTACTGCTTGTGATGAGTTTTTTACCCATCAGTTTAAATAATTTTGGGTTTTTTTCTGCATGCATCTGCACTGGTTTTATTACTCGTGTCCAAAAAATGCAATTATAGGGTAATGTTTTAATTATGAACTAATTATGTTTACTTATATTTTTAGCTTTTATATTACACTAATGTGCATTTCTTACCTAGAGGAAAGTAGAGGTAATGGTACTTATATGCATCGATAGTGACGTGGTGGGCATTTCCACATGTACGGATAGTGTTTGGAGATGCACACGGCAGCTTCGGTGCCTCAGCACTGTTTGGAGAGGAGTCACTGCCTTGGGTTGTGTCTGAGCCTTCACATGTAGGAGCACATAAAAATCATTGCTGTTGAGAATCTGCACTTTCCTCCCTACCTGCTGGCGGGCACTCGCCTCTCTGCGTAACAGGATTGCTACCGATCCTAATTTCAGTGTCATTTGAGAGGCAATACATAATGTGTCCTAGTGTTCTATTTAGGGCTGGATAATGATAGGCTTGCTGCAGCCCGTGGAAAATCCGAGCGCCCTGTGCTCAAAATGCTGCGTGCTAAGCTCGTGTGTGTGCTGTACGCCAATCTTGTCTCCCTTCTTCAGCTTAGAAACCCAGCTGGTTTTGGGAGCCAGCACACTTAGAAACTGTGACACTGCAGCGAGGCTCCTCTTCCGCCTGCCGTGTGTTCCCTGCCCGATGTACAGATGAGGCACCCTTTTGTTGCAAAGCAGATTTTGTACGGGGCAGTGTCCTGTGTGCTGGGCTGTTGTGTGAGGCTGTGGCGCTGCCAAGGGCGGAGGAGACATTGCTGCTGTCCTTTTGGTGCTGAAAGACAGCAAATGCGGGAGGCACATGGAATTGTCTCAGCCGAGCAGGGAACACCTTTCCGTGCCCTGCTGTAAGCGGAGGAGACCTCCCGTGCAGGATTTCTCTGGGTGCACGTCCCTTCCCACGGGCTCCCGGCTGCCGAGGGCACCTCTGCCTGTCCCGGCCCGGCTGGAGGAAGCCGGGGGTCACTGAGCGTGGCTGGTGCTCAGGAGGGGCAGGCAGAACCCCAGCACAACCCGGTGAGCATCGCTTCCACCTGCCCGCGGTGGACTGTGCTCCGCTCCCAGCCAAGCCTTGAGACGTTCCAGGGGAGAAGGGTGAGTGCGCTGCCACTCGTGGTATTTTTTTATTTATTTTTTTTTTAATGCGATCACATTATTGTACGGCTTTTGGGAGGGGCTGGGTGGAGGCGGGCAGGGGACCGTCCTCCGCCTCGATCGCCGTCCGCCCAGGGGGATGGAGTTTGCAGGGCATCCCCTCCCTCCGTCCCGTCGCTGCGCTCCCCTGGGGTGGCGGCTCCCCGCACTTGGCCCCCGCCGGAGCGAGGGCGGGCGGGGCGATCTCCGCTTCCCCCGGTGTGTGCTCGGCTCTGCCCCGCCAGCAACCTGCGCGGCCGGGAATAAAACCCCTCGCTTCCCGCCGCCAAGGGAGGGCGGTTCAGACCGTGGAGCTTTCCTCCGCCCCACTTTTTTTCGTGTTTTTGGGGTTTTTTTTCCCCTTTTCCCCTTCTCCCTTCTCCAGAAAGAGGACGCCCCGTGCGCGCTTTCCGCGCAGCCCCGGGCTCGGCTGGCCCGAGCGCGCCCGGCCGCGCCGAGGGCCGGGATGGCGGCGTCGGCCCGCTGGGTGTTGTGCCTGTGCCTGGGATGGGGCTGCCTGTGCCTGGCTCTGGGGGGGGACGCGCTGCGGCCGCGCCGGCTCGGGCTGCGGCGCCGGGCTGCTCCGGGGGCCGTGCGGGGCGGCCGCGCCCGGCCGGCTGCGGGTGACGACGGCCCGGGACAGCGGCGGCCCGGGCGGCCGGCGGCGGCGGCGGACAGAGTGGCGGAGCACATGCTGAGGCTCTACGAGCAGTACCGCGGCAGCTGGGAGCCGCCGACACCGGCCGGGCCCTGGCTCCGCCGGGGCAACACGGTGCGAGGCTTCCGCCCGCTGCCGGCAGGTGAGTGCGGAGCGGGGACCGCGTCGGGCAGGGCTCGGCCACGGGGCAGCCCCGAGCAGCGGCGTCAGAGCATCGCTGGGGTAGTGCCCGGGGAGGGAGAGCTCGGTGCAGGGAAGAAATGAGAGAATTAGAGAAGTATCGCTTCCTGCAGGGACTGTCGTGTTTTACGTTATGTTCTGTACTTTACTAATTGCCTTACCGCTTCTGCTCTGCTTCAAGCATCGCTGTCATCACGATGGCTGAGTGCAATGTGAGGGATCTTCTCCCAAGTCCCCCGTTAGTTGTCTGCACGTGTAGCTTCTGTTGGAGCCAAGGGCTGCTTTGTGCGTGACAGAGCTGTGACACGGTGTGGGGAGCCGTGACACGGTGTGGGGAGCCGTGACACGGTGTGGGGAGCCGTGACATGGTGTGGGGAGCCGTGACACGGTTTGGGGAGCCGTGACACGGTGTGAGGAGCCGTGACACGGTCTGGGGAGCCGTGACACGGTCTGGGGAGCCTTCAGGCTATCTGCAGCATTCTCATACTGACAAGTGGTGATAGCACTGACAATGGGAGGCAGTGGCAGATGAGTTCAGTTGAAGCACGACTTGAGTGTCATAAATACTTCACCTTGGCATCTTTGGAAGGGGCACTTAGATCTTTCTGTGATTACAGACTGGCACGCACCAGTAGATGGGTGAAAATGAAAAACATTTTCTGTAAGGGAGGGGGACGTGTTTAACATGTCAGCATCTCAAAAGAACCATGTCCTATCAGAAACAGAAGAAGTCACTATCTTAGTGCCACATCCCCTCCCTTCCCTCTTCTGGTTTTTGTGCATGTGGGGGTACAAGGGCTAAATGGAATGGCCAGAACCCAAAGATGACCATTGCTGCGATATCCTTCCCTTATCTACTGCACCCCAAAACCTTGCTGCGTGTGGGACAGCTGTCATGCCACACACAGAAGCCCCATTTGCTGGTCTCTTACTTTTGGTTACGCCGGTGCACTGACCCAGTGGCTTTTTCTTAGGCAAGCACCTCTCGGTAAAACTGAGAGCTGTCTGGGAGTTGTGGTGACTTGCTTCGAGTCCTTGGTGTCCCAGGAAAGCCAGCTGGGTGGCAGGCTTCCTTGCTGCCTCAAAAGAAACAAGGTATTTCATGAGGCAGCTCTGTGCAGAGATCCAGTACAATGAGGAATGAGTGGCTTTCGTGTCTTAGGTTTCAACCCTGCATGTCTATCTGTCCACAGGAGACGCTTTGGAGTAATTACCCTGGGTTTGGAGGATTGAGAGGCAGGACTCCCCAGCTGCTGCTCTTTCTGAAGAGCTCTCTTGCCTTTCTAAGGTGACTTGTTTGCCATGTAAAGTCTTGTGCCCGTGACTGTCGCCGAATTAAACCCACCAAGAGAGGGGAGGATAGTACATTCACTACAGCCCCCACCAAAAGGAGAGGTTGTTAATGATCCCAGCAGAGCAATATTTTCTCTGTTACACATATCTGACTAAAGCTATTTATTGTTCTAAACGTAGAATGTTGTTGATTGAAATCCCATCTCTGTGGTTTTTCTGATTATATTGGTGCTCTTGCTTGATGCTGAGTGGCAGCAGTCCTATAAACACACTGCTTGCTAATCCCATTCCTCCTCCTCCAATACTTTCACAGATCAAGTGCCAAAGCAATAAATTGGCTTTAAAAAAATTTTGACACTTTAGTAAGTATTGACCCAAAAGATTTAACCAGTTAGCTGTTGTCTTTCTCTTGCCATTGGCAGCAGCAGCGGCTTATTTTGTGTTCCTATTGATGGCAGCAAAGTCTGCTTCCAGAAAGCCCTTATATTTGATGTTCCTCAGGGCAGTGGGTACGATGGAAAGGATTTTTCTGACTTCTTCCTTGGTCCCAACTGCCTGGCAGGGCCTGCAGTGAAAACAGCATGTGCAGCAGCAGTATTCCCCTTCCAAAGTACTTTGTCTCTAGATCCTCTGCTTTGACTGTTGCACTCCTTTGCTCCAGACTTGAGTCTCCCACAGGCTCCCCCTTGTTCTTAATGGGACACATGGGTTAATTCAACACATGCCTTTGCTGTCACTCCTTCACATTTTACCATTCTCTCTGGCAGCCCCTTCAGGGCTCAGCTTTTTGTCTGCTAGGAGCAGAAGTTCCCCAAGGATCCTTCTGCGTGTCCTCCATCTACAGCAAGAGGTCTTGAAGCAGATCTTCAGTGGTTTCATTTGCAGTTTAACTTTGCAATTTAGTCTGACGTTTCCAGGAGAGCAGCTCTTCTCAAACACAGCTCTCAAATGTCGCTGTGAAACCTTCCTGTCCTTGCTTTTCCTCTGCAGGGGCTTCTGCTTCTCCTGCAGCACATGGGAAAGGCCTTTCCCAAATCTCCCAGGTAACCCAGCAGACAAATTTTGGAGACCCTGGAGTGTTGTGTGACGAGACCATAATCTCGTAGGGTTTGTTGAAACTCATCTCTGTTTCTAGTCAAAGAACAGCAGCGTCGCATGTGGCAGCTGTGGCCCTGCTACCAGCAGCCAACAAAACCCAGCTAAGACTGGTTCATCAAAACAAGCCTCCTCATATCTGTTAAAAGCAAGTTCCTCTTTCTGTGTGGCAGTTCTCTGAGGGAATGGGACCAGAGCTTCAGCCCCATGTGGCGCCTCTTTGAAGCCTCCATCGGGTGCTGCCCTGAAATCCCTTGTGCCCCAGACTTGACAACTAGGCTGGATGGCTGCTTGTGTGGGCTGGGGGTTTTGGCCATTGATTTGGATGAATGTTCATGTGATTGTTTGGGTAAGTTTGTTTCCTGTTAATCTTGCTAAATCATCTGAGAGCGTAATTGTTCAGTTTGAATCGCTCAGAAGAAGGAACCTTTGCCTGTGACAAAGCTGAAAAGAAACCCCAGGCCCGAAATCCATGAGGAGTGCACTAAGGATGTACATCTCTCACAGAGTGCTTAGTTACACATTAGCACCACTCTCTCCTGGACTTAACCACCCTAATTTGTTTCTCTGTGTTTGAGTCAAGGGATGTTCAGCCTGTGATTTCTGTGGCAGCTCTTCTTAGTGTTGCAGGACATTTCTGGGATGACTCTGGTAGTCCTTGTGTTGTTTTGGACAGGCCTTTTCCAGTTCTCTGCCTGTGGGTGCCGCAGGAGTGAGGGGTTTTCCATCTGTCGTGGCTCTAAAAGACACCATGGGAGAAGGGCAGGTGATCGTGAGCCACGACGGAACACCCGGGCAGTTCTGGCAAGGGAACTCTGAAGCTGTGGTCCTGTCTGTGACTCTTCTCTCCTCCTGAATGAGACCTGACCTCTGGCTGCCAGAAATCCGCTTACCTTCAGCGCTGCCTCTGGAGGTGTGCTGGTCGCTGCCCAGGCTCAGGGTTTGGAGGTGGCATACAGCAGGAAAAAATAAGAGAGTGGAAAGGTAAAAGCCTCAAATGCAATTAGGTTTGCTTCTGAAAGCATTTTTAGTCCTACCATCGCTTAAGGAACATGGCTTGCAAATGAGTCCTGGCTTTTTTGGAAGGTCTTCCTAATGGTGTTGTAGCAAAGCTATACAGTGAGAAATTACTTTAAACTCTTTTTTATTGACTGAAGTTCAAGTCATTTTAGGTATTACACCTGCCCCTGGGCCAATTCTTGTGGTTTTAGAACTATGTTCTCCTCCTTTTCAAAAGGCCTTTCTTTCCTTTGTAGTGGTGCAAAGTGCCCACGCAGACAGGGGAAACGGAGCGCACACGGGGAAAGCCGCGCCTCGCTGGCTGCCATCAGCCTGTAGAAACCAGTCTGGGCCAAATGCTGGCCCCTCTGAGCGCCATTAGTATCAAGGGTTCTTTGCAACAAGAGCTTGAAAATTATTCAGTCAGGAGACTTTTTTTTTTCCCTTCTGTGTGTTTCTTTGGTTTGGCTTTTTTTTTTTGCTGCGCCCCTATAAATACAATGCAAGCAGTAGCATCCTGGTAGTTTTTAGGACTAAAACATTAAGCTGTGTTGTGGGCTGATGGGCCCAAATATGCAAGCCTGTGAGGCAAATGGGCAGGATCTGTAGGTTTTGCCTCTCAGAACCAGACCCAGAATTGGAATTTTGTGGCTCCTGTCACTGTGTGTCTTGCAGCGGTGCCGTGCACGTGAGTGACCTGTGTTCAGAGTCCCCTGCTGGTCCCTGTTTCTAGAAGACATTGCTTCAGCATGAGGAGCTCTGGCATCAAAGGACAGGCTGTGCACAATTTGCTCTTCCCCCAGCCAGCCTGCTGCCACCAGCCCAAGTGCGATGAATGGTGGCTGTGAGGAGGAGTGAGGTCGACTCTTCTTCTGCCCAGATTTGTGTGTGCTGTGGATGTATGCCCTTGGCTTGTGCTAGCTTTGAGCTAGATGTTGTGTTTAGTTTTCACACCTGCTGTGCTCTTCCTGCTTAATAGAGGTAGAAAAGAGATCAGGGGGCCACTGTGCAGCGCACTTAGGCTGTGCAATGTGCAGAGTTGTGCTCTTTGTATCATGAAACCCTAATCTAAGTTTTAGGTCCCGAGTATGCAGCCTTGCTGTTTCTACCTAAGCTCTTTATTTGAGTGACTGATAGCTTTAATCCAAGGTGAACTGGCTGCTGTTTGATATCAAGCTGCTAGCTGCTGTGATCTTGCCTGCTTTGCTAAAAGAATTAGTTTGGCAGCAGGTCCTATGCCCTTTCAAAAGCGAGAACCCCATCCTATCTTTTCCTTTTGCACAGAACGCAAATTGCTAACTAGGAACCAGCAGCCAAGCGAGAGGGAAGGTGGGAGGCAAGAGAAAATCTGGTTTCCCAATCTGTTTCTGTTGAGGAACTTGTTCCTGTTTCCAGGTCCCGGTGAACTTTTGTATCTGGGCTGTGAACCGATGAGAACAACGTTTTACACCGGAAACGCCGATACGCTCTTAACTGGGCCCTGGCACAAGGGCACCTCTTTAACTTCTCCTTTAAATGATGGCTAATGGTGACTGTATAACTAAATGGTCCTCGTTATTGCATCCTTTTTCACCCGTGGGATAGATTTGGCAGTCCATAAAAATGTCAGGGCATCCTCTATAAAGGTAAACACACCACATGTTAGCAGACTCATTCCAGCTTATTGATGCCTGAAATCCCCCTTCTGACAGGAATCTATTTGAGCCGGCCATGTCAGTCTTGACAGACCTACTGCACTTCCTTAAAAATACTTTTTTAATGCCAGTCAGGCCATCCTTTCAAGGCCATCCTTGGAGCTGTGTGTTGGTGCAGGGAGGTGAGGAAGTGTGGGCCGTGCCCCTCAGATCCAGCAGGTACAGGTACTTGGGCTGCAGTGCCAGGAGCTGGGTTTGAGCTGTTAGTAAATAGTCTGGGATCTCTGGTACCCCCAAGAGGGAGTGCCAGTACACGTGTAGAAAAGGCAGGCGATTCTGCTTTCAGTCTCAAGGGACCGTCCCCTTCTTCTGGCCCCGTCCCGGAGAGCCCTGCCGTCCTTTGTGCATGAGGCTGTCCCAGCACGAGTCTCACCACGGTGCTGCTGGGCTGTGGGTTTCCTCTGGGCAAAGGGCGAGTGCACGGGTGAGCACAGAAGTGCCTGCGGGCCGAGGAGGCCGATGAACCCGATAAACACCCGCTGCCTGTCCGTGTTCCCCTCCGTGCCTTCCGAACCGCGCTTGACGTGAATGCCAACGATGCCGCGTCCCGCTCCTCGAGCAGCTTTGTGCCCGGCTCGTGGCTGCTGCCTCGATGCTGTAGAAGCGAGCAGAGCTGGTTCAACAGAACTCTGTCACGCAGAGCTTGGTCTTGAAAACTCCTCCTCAGGCCGGCAGGAACATCTGGTGGAGGGGAGCAGAGGTTGCTGTTAAAATCTGGCCTCACGGTGTCTGGAAGGCAGCAGCGTGTAGCTCAGTTCCTCATTTTCCTTTCTTCCTCTTACAACTTATTCTCTGGAATGGTTTCCAGCAGAGTGTGTCCTATGAGCCCAAAGGCAAAGTCTCATTTCAGTGAAATGAAGTTTTCCTGAGCAAAAGATGTAGTTATTTCAAAGCTGCATCTTCCTTGGCATGTCTGTCATTTTTAAGGGTAATTTCTAGCCCGGGGAACACTTATTTCAGTGCAGTGCTCACACCTGGGCACCAGGTATCGGTGTTGCACAAGGTGGGTACTGGACACGGTACTCCCAAATTTTGATGGAACCCCAGGCCGTGCAGTTGGGTTTCTTGCAGCGGAATCTGGTGAATCCACGGATGTCTGTGCTGGCCACTAGGAACTGTTTTCGAGATGATTTTGCAGATGAAAGATTTGAGAACTCAGAGCTGCTGAAGCTTGGAGGTGGTTGTATAGGAAAACAGCACCATCTGCTGCAAGTGCTTCATCTTGGCAGAGAATTACATGCCAGAAGCGGGTGCTGGAGTTTAGCTTTTAACCAAAACTATAGGCTCCTTCTGTGCCTGATCCATGCTGTCCAGAATTTCTTGATGAACAAAAGTAGCTTCTTTTGTCATACAATATGCCAGTTTAGAACAGGCAGGATTTTTTAAGTGGCATTCGTAATAAAAATTAGGATGAAAACTTGTTACTCAACATAGAGCAGTGATTTAAGGAATAATTCTTAAACAGGTGCTCATGAGACACCATGAGTTCGTTCCCCTAAGACTGATCTACTCAGTGCTCTGCCAGATGACCTGTTAACCTCATTACATCAGTGATTACAAACCAAGCAGAGATCAGGTCCTCGTGTATGCCTAGTGCAAGCATAATCAAGAGCCGGTTTTGGCTGAGGAGTAAAAAGTGGGATGGCATTCCAAGTAAATCTAGTTCCCTAGGCACCTGTAATAGAATTTGGACGTGTTTGGTACGTGAGTTTTCAGCTCTTGGGAAGTTGCCTGTGTGCTCGGCTGTTGCATTAGGCTGAATGTGTAAACGAAGGTGTCTTCCTTACTTGATTTGGCCTTTCCGCTGTTTTGGCTCTGTTCCACTGAAGAAAACATAGTTTTTTCCATAACTCCATGGAGCTAATTCCCTGCTAAGCCGGGGAGAAGGGTTCTCTCTTTCTAATGGGACCAGTTCCCGCTTTTTTAATGCACTGACTGGAATATTGTGACACAAAAATGTTTGGAAGCGGAGGAAGCTGCTTGGATTTTTGGGGTAGGGATGGGGCAGCACACGGAGATTACAGGCTTTTGCCACACTTAGAGTGAATGGCACTGGCCATTGGGATATTGCAGGCTGGAGGCACTGAATGTCACACAGAACATGGGATGGTCAAAGTCTATGAAAGGTCTGTACTGGAAATGATGTTTTCAGTTGCCTGGGCAAGGACTTCCTACATTGTGTGCAGGGTGGGAGCGGTGTGTCTGGCCATCCCTAGTCCATGGCCAATCTCTGTGCTTGTCATGGCTTGGCCTAACCCTTTGGAGAGGCTTTTGACATGCCACGGTGTCCAAAAAACATTTAATTTTGCATATCCTCATTTCTCTAATGTGTCAGGATGTGGCCAGCCCTTTGTGGCGGGGCAGGGGGGCGCTGCTGACCATACCTTACCTCTCCTGCATTTGCATTTCCCTGCCAGCCTGGTTTTACAGCTTAGCATTCAGATCTGTATTTCTCTCGCTCTCGAGGACAGGCGTAACCGCAGCCCAGAGAGAGTTTTAAAGGACAGATTAAACCTTCCTCTTGAGCCTTGCTGTTGCACCTTCTGGGGGTTAGAGTCCCCCACGTGTTTCCCAGACCAGCCGTGTCAGCCGCCCTTCCCTGGGTTCGGTACCTGCAGTTAGCGCCACTTCCCGGGCTCGGCAGCTGTGGAAAGCGTCACTCCTGCCTGGCACAGGCACATCCCAGGTGTGAGAGGAGCCGTCCCTGCCTTCTTTACCCCTGCACAGACGCAAGTGTGCCACCCCGCGACCCCTCAGATCTGGTCTCTGGATTGGCTTTTTTGGGTTAACGAGGATGCTCCAGTACTGTCTGCCTGCCCTCAGCTGTATTAGTAAATACCTTCTAAGTCTGGCATGAAAATTGCTGTGGTGTCCTAGATGGAATGACTAAATGTACCCAGTATAACTGATCATTTTAGAGGAAAACTTCCTGCATGATTCGTATCTGACTTAGCGAAAGGGCTGTCAGAGCAGCCTGTGTCTCCTCTGGATGACATTTTTAGATGCCCATGTTCTTATCTGAGTACTTTTTTTTTTTCTCCTAGGGAGCCCTGAAAGCCAGGAGATGTACGTTTTTAACTTGACATCACTCACAGAGTCTGAAAATGTCTTGTCAGCTTCGGTGTATTATTATATTGGTGATCTGCTGCATGTGAAGTGGAACTGTTCCCAGTCCAGTGGCTGTTCTCATCACAGGCACAGGAAGCCAGAAATTCAGCTACATCTTTCAGTTTGGACCTTTCCTTCAGCTGGGAACCCGACTCGGAGCCTGGGACATTTCCTCATAAATGTCTCCTCTGCTTACCAGGATATCCTCTCCTGGCAGTGGAAGGATATCACTCAGCTCCTGCATGAAGCAAAGCAGAACAAGGAACTGCTGCTCAGTGTTAAAATGCATCTGACCAGCCATCATCCCTGGGAAAGAGCATCTTCCTCCTATGAACCCTACATCCTGATTTACGCCAATGATTCCGCTATCTCGGAGCCGGAGAGCGTTGTCTCTACTTTGCGAGGACACCGCCGTCCTCTGGCGAGGGTCCTTCCCAAGCCGGAGAGCCACACGAGCAGCAGTGTCGATAACCGCCGGAGAAAACGCTCTGCAAACATCCTGCTGCCGCTGCAGAACAACGAGCTTCCAGGAGCCAAGTACCAGTATGCTGAGGACGAGAGATGGGAAGGCAGAAAGCCCTACAAGGCCTTCCAGCCGCAGCTAGCAGACAGGGCCAGGAGTAAGAAAAAGCAGAGGAAGCATCATCTGCAGAAGAGCCAGATGCTCCAGTTTGACAAGCAAACACTGAAGAAGGCGAGGAGGAAGCAGTGGAACGAGCCGAGGTATTGTGCCCGGCGCTATCTCAAGGTGGATTTTGCAGACATCGGCTGGAGCGAGTGGATTATTTCCCCCAAGTCCTTTGATGCCTATTACTGCTCAGGAGAATGCCAGTTCCCCATTCCAAAGGTATGGGCTCTGTCCATTCTTTTTCGCTGTTACCAGAAACTGGGTGTTTGTTTCCCACGTCAGTAAAAGGCAGCCAGGGCCAGCATGGGTTTGGGGATAGGACCTGGCTGCTACCCTTGCCCCACGCAGCAGTGCGCACTGGTTAGAATGTGTACCAGAGAGATAAGCTTGCAAAGGTAATTAAAAAGACTTGACTTGCTGTTAGCTTTTCATCCAAAACCCAAATTGCCATAAAACATTTCCTGAGTAGTGCTTATGATGTGTGAACTTGTGATTCGCCTGTTTAGCAAGCAAAATACAAGCCAGATTTGGAAAACTGTTGTGTAGACAGCGCTTGTTGTACCCAGAAGGAGCCCAGAGCCCCACCAGAGGCAGCTGGCACAAGGCTCCAGGCAAGGCTGCCCTGAGGGCAGAGAGCTCCGGGCAGCGGCAGGTCCTGTTGGGGTGCCCCTCAAGCACAGAGTCGAGTGAATCACTTCTGATCCACTGGACCAAGGGGCCCCAAAGGCAATGGATCCAGGCCCAGTGACTCTGAGAATATCCTCTGGTTTGCATGAGCTGGTTCCGTGTGAGTAGCAGGCGAGGCTGATGTGCTCCTAGCCATGTGACCTAGAGAGAGCTCTGCTCCCAATGTCCAGGGTCACTCTTAGCAACATGTAGCCCTTGGGGGCTGCTGAAACTTGAGAGCAGGACATGGGATTTGAGGCTGGCCTAAAATGAGGGGTCTGCACAAGTAACACCTGCAGGAAACATCAGTAAAGGCAGGGCTCTTGGACTCACTGCAGCGTTCCATTCCAGAGTCTTTATTGCTGCCACAGTGAATCCAGAGCAGTTGGTTCCAAAATATACATGGCATTTCAGTGGTTTAAGGAGCCAAGGGAGTTGCCCTTTGAAAGAGATGGGTGGAAGAATCATACCAAAGGGGATGGCACCCAGACAAAGCAAGCTGTGGAAGGAGGGGTCCTCTCCTCCAAGGAGGAGACGACTTTGCTAGCTCCAGCTGCAGAGGCAGGACGTAAGGCTGAGCATCACGGGACCTGCTGCTGCTAAGGCCGTGTCTGCAGAATGCCCTGGTGCTCAGGCAATAACAGACTAGTCTGTGCCTGTGGGTACATCATGTTCCCTTGCTGAGGGTGAGCTCCTAGAGTTAACAACCTGTTGAGTGATTGAGAACAGATGTGTTCCCCCCTCACGTCCAGATTTGCATTTTTTCCCCGTGCCCTGGTTGTAGTTAGCCGGTTTGACCGCTGTCAAAGCCACAGGTGTTGGGAGTGTGACCTGGTGCAGGGCTTGCGGGCCAGGGCGACGCTCTCCTGGTCAGGAATGAGAGCTGGTAGCTGCCTCTGTGTGCCCTGCTTGTAACCCAGCTGCAGCGACATTCTGCAGGGCAGCCAGGCTCCTGAGGGCCGTGCAGCTTGGCAGGCGTGGCCTGACCGCAGCCGAGCTCGATCACAGGCTCGGTGCTTCGGAGGCAGCTCGGCATTTTTATCTCCTGCTGGCCCTCGCCTGCCTCTCCCCTCTGAGCGAGCTCCTGCCTGCCTTCCACAGCCACGTGCTGGATGGAGCTTTGGTGACCCGCGGGCAGCGGCCTGAGCCAGCCCCTGTGCAGGGCACCTTGGCTCTTCAGCTCTCCCAAGGGCAGTACTGAACTGCCCTTCTGGCGCTCCCGAGAAGCACGGGGCTGTGGCTTTTGCTCCCGTCACGGTCACAGCACGTCACCCCTCCAGGGTGCACCTCAAGGAGCGGTGCATGGTGCTCAGCACGGGCTGGGGTTGGTGAAGGGCATGTTCTCTGACGAATGCTACCCAGTCAAGCTGAGATACGCCTTGCAGGGCAGCACGAGTCCAGGCTGTTCCCACTGAAAGCCGTGCTTGAAATGTGTTGGGTGCTGCTTAGCCGGGAGTTGGCTCGATGCCATTTAGCCCTTGGGGGCTATGGATTCTGTATCTGAAGGAGAAGGTTGATGAGGAGATGGTAGGTGCCGTACTTGGAGTCCTGATTTTAGTTTTAGTCCTACCGGCTGCAGGAAATAGGATCGCAGTAGGTGCTCTGCCTCTTGCCTCGTGATCAGCAGGCTCAGGACGGCTGCAGGGCTCCCAGTTACTTGGGGGAGAATGCTGCCCAGCAGCTGAGGAAGGAAACGTGGCTGGGGGCTACCGCAGCTTCCACTTCCCTTTGAGGACAGAAATTGTACAGAAGTCTGAGTTCTATGATAATCTAAAACACGTTTTTAAATCCCTGGCTGCTACTGCTGAGGAGTGTAGGTACTCTGGAGTTCAAAACAACCCGACAGAAATGTCTTCCATCAGCTTAGACGGAGACTTAGATCTCGATGTGCTGATGTGCTGCGCAGACGATAGGGCGAGCTGGAATTGTTCCTGCGCTTTCTGCATGTCCGTTATCCAGCCCTTAAGGCTGGGATACTTTTGTCCCAAACAAATCAGCTCTCATTGCAGCAAAACTGCAAACTGAGCATTTGGCCAAAATAACCTGATTCTGTATATTTCTCACCAATGTGTGATGTTTTGATCCCCAGAATCTGTCTGTAAGAACAACTGTGAAAACCAAACCACAAGTCCCTACCTTGGGCATTTTTCACGCCCACCTACCTCTTGTACAGATACTTGGATCAGGGAGCATTTCAGGGTGCAGAGTAAAACCTTGTGTTTTTCATTTCTCTGTGTTGTTTTTTTTATTTTTATGAGCACATTAATGGTTTTTAATTTTGTAATCAAGCAGTTACCTCACCAGGCAGAATTGGTTTCATTTTCAGAGCAAAGCCAAGCATGTCCCTTTTTAAAATTTTAGGAAACCTTGTCCTTTGCAGTTTCTTCTCTGGAGGAAAATGTCACTTTAGTATGAGGTATGGCTGTCTTGGAGGCTCAGTTCCTCAGCAGTGCCATTGGCTACAGACGTTCCAGCCGAGGGGTCTCAACAGGGCCCCTCCCTCAACAGAGCAATTTCATTGCAGAGTCTATCAATCCGTGGCATTGTGGCTGCAGTAACGTGTTCTGCCGTGTCTCGCTCTTGCAGGCCATGAAGCCATCCAACCACGCCACCATCCAGAGCATTGTGAGAGCCGTCGGAGTCGTCCCCGGCATTCCCGAGCCTTGCTGCGTTCCTGACAAAATGTCTTCTCTCAGCATCTTATTCTTCGATGAGAACAAAAACGTGGTTCTGAAGGTGTACCCCAACATGACAGTGGAGTCCTGTGCCTGCAGATAACGCAGGCCTTTGGGCACCACCAGGGCCATCACTTGCTGTTTGGGGAGGGGAAGGGCAGGAGGCTCATCGTACGTACTCGGTGTTTGCACTGCCGAGGCATTTCCTTTGGACAAAAAAGAGAAAATGTAAAGAAATCCAGTCAGTGAGAATGGGAACAGAATGGATTCCATACAGGAATTCCAAGGCAAGCGAATACAGACTTGGTTCCTGTGTGGTTTGGACCGAGACACAAGGCCTGGGAATGGGACCTGACTGGAGCTGTTGAAAGCGGGAGGCAAAAGAAGAATCTGCATTTTTGAGACTGCCCAAAGGGACACGGTGATCTGTTTTTGCAGGAGACTTTGGAAGCAGCACAAGCTGTTTATTCTTATCTCTGTTCTAGCGGTGACTGATGGCAGGGGGAGGTTAGAAATGTAGTAGTCTTCATTGTAAAGGTAAGTTTCTTGCCTTAGGTTTTAGAGTAGTACAGCAAGGTGGCAAAACCAATCTGACAAAGGTTTATCTGTGTATAGACTGTCAATCTAAAAAAATGATAATCGCCCCCAAAAAAGAGAAGTTATTTTGTATATGGAAAGAAACTTTTACAGATGCTTCTAATTTATTTTATATCCGTGGCCCCCTCCTACTGTATCCTTCTTTATCTCAGCACTCTTTAAAGCGTGCAGTTTTCTCTGTCAGTGCCGAGATGAACTGCCAGGACTGTAGCGGAGCTCCGCAGAACAGGGGCACCCGCAGTGTGAAGGGCATGTTTCGGTGCCGATGGATACGCCCGTCTGATCTGTATTGTTTTCCTCCAGTAATGCGGACGTTCTGCTTGGAACTCCGCAGAGACGTAAAATAAAATTACTTAAAAACCGAAGTCCACCTTTACCTGCGCACCGCTCGGCTGGCGTGTTACCGGTGCGCATGCGCAGGGCCGACGCGCCACCGGGCCAGGCAGTGCTGCGCATGCGCACCGGGCTCCCGCGCGGCGCTGGGCGGGGCTCGGCTGTGAGGGGTTGCGGCAGCGGGGGGGCGATGGAGGAGAGCGGGAGCTGCTGCGGCTGAAGGGGAGCGGAGAACGGCGGTCCCGGGACGTGCCCCGAGGAGAGCGGGAGCGAGCACGGAGCCGGGAAGGAGCTGCGGGGCCGGGGCCGCCCGGCAGAGCCTTTCCCGGGAAACAAAACCTGCGGTTTTTCCCACCTTGGCCCCGTGGCCGATGCAGCAGCATCTGAGCAGGTGGGGCTGGGGCCGGAGGCAGAGCTTGGAGGTTTTTTGCATATAAATGAACTTGGAAATATGAACTTGGGAGAGGTGCTATAAAAGCACCGCGGCTGCTCGGGCAGGTGAGACATGGCTCAGGGGGAGGAATCGCTTTCCTGAGCTCCTGGAGTTTCAATTGCCTCTTCCACGAGCATTCGTGAGAAATTTCCCGTTTGGAGTTGGGCTCCAATAAGAAGGAACCTGAAACTGCTTTTTCTGATACATCCGTAAGTGAGGCCGTCTGAAGCTCGCTGCTGTAAGCAGCCAGTAGCTCCCCCGGATATTTTAACTTGAAAATGGTGACTTGTATTTCCTCTGTGCACAGAGTACTTGGTTGTCCCACGCGGAATTCACTGAGGCTGTGAATTGCAATCCCCAGAGCATCTTCAGGCTCCCGGGGTGCTTGGGGCACAGAAAACATCCCAGGCTGTCCACCTCGGGTCTGGTTGTGCATTTCCACAGCTCCTCAGAGTGGGAAAAGGCCAGAAGGGTGGTGGGAAGGGCTTTCTCCCAGGCTTGGGCATTCCCAAGACACCTTAACGTTGGTTTATGAGTGTTGTCTTTTTGTTTCCCAGCCCAGGGCTAAATTGGAGAAAAGGCAGAGAGAGTGGCAAGAGGTAATTCCATTTTTAAATCTGCCCTTGAATTGCTGTTTCTCCCGGCAGATCTGTGCTGCCTAAAGTACAAATGAGGAAGATGTTGGGAGTACCTGTTTGTTCACCTGTTGTGCTTGGAAGAGACGTGAAATTGCAGGGAAGCTGCGCTCACTGTAGTGACCGGAGGGAGAAGCACCTTGTCCATCTTGTCCATCTTGCCAGCCCCTGGTGTGGTCCTTTCCCCTTTGGCTCCTTGTTTCCCTCTTGTCCAATCAAGGACAGAAGCCCTCTGTCCTTGCTGTGTGTTCTGCACTCGGCCTTTCTGTGTCCTTCTCCATGGCTCACTCACCTGCCTTTTTTAATTCCGTCTGTCTCTCTGCTCTTCCCCGTGCCCTTGTTTCCCAGTGGATCCTTGTGTCCCCTTCCTTGGCTCTGTTCTTTTTCAATCCCTCTTCGTCTTGCTGCCCATCCCAGCTTTTGGGTTTGGGTGGGAGTTTTGGTTTTAGGTGGTTTGATTGTTTTTGGTTTTGGTGGGTTTTTTTGGTTTGGTTTGGTTCTTTTTCTGTTTTGTTTTG